TCCGCGCATGCATCTCCGCGCATGCATTTCCGCGCATGCATTTCCGCGCATGCACATACAAGCGTCACCCCCACCCCCACATCTACACCCATACTGCACAACTGCGTTGTCACTGGCTGACACCCTCCCGCTCTCTTCGTGCCCCGGTGCCGCACCATGTGCATCCTCGGGACCCCCCTCCCCTCCCAGCCCTCCAGCAGACCCGGTCCACCTGCGCCAAGTGCCAAAAGCCCATCATGAGCAAGAACGAGCTGATCGTGTACCAGCGCGAGCGCTACCACGCCCGGCACTTCTCTTGTCACTCATGCTCCTCCGTGCTGACGGCCGACTGCAAGGAGCTCGACGATAAGCTCTATTGCCAGCCCTGCCATCAGAAGGGTACGCCGGTGACCCTGCCTTTGCTGCACCCCGCTGCCCGGCTCTTCCCCCCCCGGTCTGACCCTCCCCCCCTCCCCCACGCTCTCTGATAAACCACGTAGCCCTCTCGGCCACTTGCGACGTCTGTCGGCGACCGATCGACGGTCGCAGTATTTCCGCCCTCGGCAAGCAATTCCACCCGGAGCACTTCGTGTGCACCCGCTGCGAGAAGCCCTTCGGCCAGTCGTCCTTCTTCGAGTACGAGGGGAAGCCCTACTGCGAGATCCACTTCAACGAGGTCCGCGGGGCCATGTGCGGCCGCTGCCTCAAGTCCCCGCAGGAGGCCAGTGCGTAATCCCTGCTTGGTTTCCGTTCCGCATCGGCATGCGCGCCTCCCCCCGCCGGGCCTAATCTCACCCTACCCCCTGCTCCCCCCCTGTTCCCCCTTTGCCCACGCCCCTGGTCCTCGCCTCCTCCTGCCAGGTGTCCCGGTTTTCAGCCGGCACTACTGCCGGTCGCACATGGTGTGCGTCGGCTGCGAGGTGTCCCTCCTGCCGGCCGACATCGACCCGGCCACCGGCAAGCTGGCCAAGGACGCCATCATCCCGCCGCCCTACTACGAGTGGGATCTCAAGCCCTTCTGCAAGAACTGCTTCGGTGAGCTGCCCTCCAGTGTCCAGCGGCGCCTCACCAAGTACGCGGAGCTCGAGCGGAAATACCTCAAGAAGCACGCCAAGTAGAGGAGAGAGAGAGGTCCACCCTGTGGGGGGTGGCTTGCGCTGCTGCCCGCGCCCCCTCCCCCCCCCCCCCCCCCCCCGGCGCCGCGCCGATTCCCTCCCTTTTCTCGCTGCTGCTGCGTGTTGCGCGCCTTCCCGTGCAAATTTCCCCCTCTCCCTCCCTCGCTGTGTCTGTTCTTCGCCCCACACGCGCCCTCCCCCCCCCCCGTTCTGGCCCCTCCACCTTGTCCAGGGGGGCGGGCTCCGGACGCATCCTGCCCCAAGTGCCCACGCAATACACTCGCATTTAGTCCCCGACCGTCTGCCTGCTGGTCACATCCCAAGTGCCAATGCTTCCCGCCGCCCCGCCGTGCCGCGCAGCTCTCCCGCATTCGGCGGTGCGGGGGGATCTCCCGGGTTGTACGCAGGGGGGGGGGGGGGGCGGGTGTGTTCACGCGGGGCGCCCCTCGCGTCGCGCCTCGAGCCGCGCAGCGTCGCCCTCCCCCCCCCTTCGGAGCATTCGCTCGCACACATGAGCCAGTGCACCAACTGGCTGCCGCGTCCTCGCGGGTGCCGCCAGCTCCCACCACCGACACGCCGGGCCCCCTCTCTCTTTCTCTCTCTCTCTGCCTCCTTTGCTCCTTCCCGCTCGTCGCTTCCCCATCCCCCCTCGCCCCTGCATCCCCCCCCCTCCCCTGTCGTTCTCTCCTCTTGCTCTCCTTTCCTTCTAGTGTGCTCGGTGGCCATGTTTGATCAACCGCACGCGAAGTTTGTCCAGCCGGGCTCGCCGGCCTCCAAGCCGGTGGCCCGCAATGCCGAGGCGCGACTTGCCGTGGCGCCGCTGTACTTCGGTTCAACCCGGCCCGGTGCCGGTGCCAATGCCGACGCGGTTGCCCCGGCGGCCGCTGCCCCGGCCCCGGCGACCGCGGCCTCCCCGGCCAAGGGCAACGTTGTCCTGGTGAATGTCCCGCCGAGCGCCAGCTTCTCCAGCACCACCGGGCTCATCATCCTGGACTCAATTGAGACCGCCACCCCGGCCATGGTGCGTCAGCGTTCTGCCTCTTCCCCGGACCCGGGGGCATGGCTGCCCGGGCCCCGGTCGCCAGACCGCCTCGCGCTTTGATTGCCATTGACCTCTGGTCCGCACCTCCTGTGCGCCTCACGTGCAGCCCATGTCCTCGCGCATTGTCCCGGCGCCGTACTCCATCCGGTCGCTCGGTCGGAGCTCCTCCGCCGGGTATCAGGTCCCCTCGGCCCTGATGCCGCAGTCGACCGCGCTGGAAACCATTGCCGCCGCTGCCGGCGCGACATCGGCCCGTGTGGTCGCCCCCACCCCCGCCGCCAGCAAGGCCACCGCCCCCAAGATGGGCACCTCGTCCGTGGGCAAAATCACCGTCCCCAGCGCCAAGCCTGAGCCAGTCGGTCCGTCGTCGCTCTTCTCGGCCAAGAAGGCCGACACCGCCAGTGTGGCCGGCTCGGCCGGCTCCACCTCCGTCCCCGGGCCCGCCCCGGAGTCCGCTCGTCCGGGTGTCCCCGCTGGCGGGGCCGCGGCTCCGAAGCCGGCCACCTCGACCGCCGGGCTGACCCCGGCCGGAATGGCCGCGACCGCGGCCATGGCAGCCATGGCCGCCAAGGCCGGCACCCCGATGGTGCCTGGCGCTGCGCCGATCGCCACTTCGACCGGCGGCACTCAGCCGGCCACTGTCCCGGCGGCGGCCACGGCCAAGGCCCCCCCAGCCGCTCCTCCAGCCGACGAGGGGAAGTTCCTCTTCCCGGCGCCGGTGTCCAGTGATTTCGTCCCCCCCCAGGTGAACCTGAGCAAGGTCATGAGCGAGGCCGACAAGCACCAGTCCGCCTTCACCTTCCCGCCGGCGCCGAAGAGCGAGTACGTTGCTGCCCTTTCTGATGCATTCCCCCAGCAGACCACACGCACGCCTATGTGTGTATGCGCGCGTGTGTGTGTGTGTGTGTGTGTGTGTGTGTATATATATATATGCACGTTCGGCCCGCTGACACCGTTCGCGCCAGCTTCTCGGGTGGCATGTCCGCTGGCTCGTCGGTCCCGGCCGCCCTGCCCCCTGGACAGTTCTTCTTCGGGGAGCCTCCCAAGTTCTCGGTGGACCTGCCCGACTCGGTCCTGGGGAGCATTGTCCCTGCCACCGGGCGGACCTTCGACTTTGGCCCGGTGCAAGCGTTTGCCCCGCCGGGCAGCCTCTCGGAGGGCGGGTTCTCCTTTGCTGCGCAGCCCGCGGCGGCTGGCAAGGCCCCGGCCGATAAGGGTGCCCCTTCGTGCAAGGGCACCGGGCTCAGCTTCTCTTTCGGCAGCGCCGGCCCCGGTGCCGACAAGCCCCCGAGCACCGGTGGCGGCTTGAGCTTCGCCACGCCGGCCACCGGCAAGGCCCCGGAAGCCAAGCCCGGCCTCGAGGCCGGTGGTTTCCCCGGGGCTCAGCCCAAGCCGGCCGGGTTGTCGTTTGGCGCGCTGGCCGCCGATCAGGCGCCAGCTGTTGGTAGCAGCTTCCCCATCGGCGGCAAGCCCAGCGCCGATCAGTCCTCGCCTCAAAAGGCACCGGTGGTGGCGGCCGGCCCTGCTGCGACTTCCTCGGCCGCGGTTGTGGCGCCCATCTCCAACCCCATCAAGATCGACACGTCCGGCACCTGGGCTTGCCC